GAGTTGGTCTCAGATGGTACGGCGGCATCCACTTGGGGCCGCTGCGGTTCAAGCTCATCAACCGGGTGGCACGACAGATCCTCGAGGATGAGGGGGCGATCGACCCCGGAGCCCACCATAATGGAAAGAAGCCAAAATAGTCCTGTTCCTCACTAAATGTCATCACACACTTGCGGCTTTTTTTCTCGTGATGTTCTCCTACTCACTGTCGTGTTTTTTCTGTCAATACTTCCTTACAATGATCATCACTGAGTGATGGTGACGGCCTCTCGTGTCTATTACAGAGCCTTCACAACATGGCGTCGAGGCCGCTATCACGGCTCCGTCCCTCATCCAGCTCGTAAAGCCATCACTATCATTGACTGCATATCGGCGGACTTCCTTAGTGCCACGTTACGGCAAGGCGGCCCACTCCGGACCCGTAATAGAACTGTGTAGTCTACACAGTGTAGATTCTGATGGTCACCAAAGCTTTCCGCTTGCTGGGTCTGCCGAAGGGAACGACCTACTGCTAAGTGAGGCTGGCATAGGATGGTAGGAGTTTAAGGTGGCACTAGTTGTGAACGCCACAAGGTGTTCAGATACTTTAAACGCTTTCCCCGTTGGAAGGTCGAACCTAGGCCATCAGCTCAGCAGCCACAAGTCGTATGCCAAGGTCTGCGTTGGGCTGTGCAGACTGGCACTCAACGTCGTGTACCTCTCAAAACTTGATAACTCGCGATGTTTCCGAACACATATTCGTCTTCCTAGTCGGCAGTCTGTGCTAGAAAATACGATGCTATGTTTGTAGTCTATTGCTTGTTTTCACTATGCCCCGTTCTGTAGCTAGCAGAGGCAGTAGGACTTCAGCAGGGGAGGGGTCACAGAATGCTGCAATGAACAGCGACCAAATGTAGGTGGTCCTTACCATCCAGCAATAGCCCCCTCTTGCCAGAATGCCCGATGTCATAGCAGAGACCCAAGAGAGAGTTGAGACACCCCCACGGAAGCGGGCCAGACGAACTCGGACTCCTACTAACTCCTCTACCTCATCGAGCACAAGTCGAAGCTGTAGCCTAGCCCTGCTGGCCTAGTCAATGGTATTGCTATTCATCTCAGCTGAGCCCGTCCCGGCTAGTGCCATGTTGATCGAACTTACTACCATCCTTGGGAGTCGCGGAGAGTACCACATGAGGCAGCTCGTATCGAAGCTCGTCGACAGGCGCAGGAATAATGAAGCTAGCATATTGTCAACAGTAAAGACTCTCTGTTGTGGGCCCGCTATGGACACTGTTCCTTCATAAGGTCATCAATGTCATTATAGCTGGAGCCGGCTGCAAGGAACTAGTCAGACCGGGCGACGTAGATGCTGCAGTGAATACTCAAGGAGTGTCCTCCGCTGCTGTTGATGATCTTGCTCAAGTAAGAACATACGGAGGGCCATTAGTCGCAGAGTTTTCCGCTCCAGATGGTGGTTGAGGCATACCAGTTAACGGAAGGCGGCACCTCACTGCCTCGTCTGGTGGTCTTGAGGCAGAAGCTCGCCCTCTCTTCTGCTGGGAAGAGTCAGTAGTCTTGAAACTACAGGGTATTGGTCGCAATATGCCGCGTCATTCAGGGAGCGCCGAGAAGTCCTCATCGAGTCGGCTGCGACACCTTCGCAATTTCGAGTGCTTCTTCCGTACACTCTACTCCACCCTCGCTGGTGACGGTATGGATGGTGTTCTGCTCATAGCTAGACTGAACTCTTTCTTGCTGGGTGTCCCTGGCAGCACCCAACGCGGGGTAGGAAAAGTCGCGGCTATCGTGGTTGATGTGAGCTCAGGGCCCCTCCTTGGCAACTGTGGCGGTACTCCACGTCCGCATGGTTGCAACAGTGGCAGCTTGCGCCGGCTGCGCGGGCCTTCTCGAGATCATCAAGGGCCAGGAAGCTGATATAAAACACGCGGAGATGACTGGTAGGATGTTACCAGTTGGGAAGCCACTACCATGTGGGTCAGCCCCACTGGGCGGGCGGGTCCCCAGCCGGTCTGCAGCCGACCAGATGAAGCAGTCCCTTGAGCGTATGATAGGAGTGTTGCGAGGGATGACCAGCATCCTGGGCCTCGACCGCTGTCATGATTCGTCAGAGTCCATCAGAGCTCTGGTGTTGTCTCATGTAAGATCTCGGGATTGCCAGCTGGCCCCTATCTCCGTCGGTTTCCTTTATAGGCCGGCTTTGCCTCGTGGATGGGCACTATCGATGACGAAGATTTCTCTGCAGCAATCATTGCGAGGTTGGTGCCGGGACTGGCAGATCGTAGCCCAGTCGTCAGGGGAACGGTAGCTGACGATGTGTCGTATTCCTTCTGCTTCTCCCCTTTCTCCTCAGATTCTAGAGCAAACATATCGGTCCTTGAAAGCAGACATCAAGACTGTGCCGTTGAGTCGATCACAGTTGGCCACACTAGCGCCATGTGTCCTCCGCCGGTGCTTCGACTTGGACACCACTGTGAGGTCGGGGCCACTGCGTCACTAAAAAACACATGCTTTCGAGCGGCCAGGTTGTGGGCCGTGAAGTGCCTCAACGCCATCGTCGAGGCGGCGGACGCCTTGGATGACGACCACGACGATATTGTCGTTGACGAGGGACAAGTGGGTTATCGCTCGGGTTAGCGCTGGGAGGTATACTGGCCACCGTCATCAGGTCCTCAGTGACCAGGGCTTCCAGTTAGTGTCGAACCTGGTTTGGCATCCAGAATTGGCCCTGCGATCGGAAGCTATGCTTTTCGTGGACGCCCACGTCTTTGGTGATCCCGGTGAGTCTTCTTTTGCTCGTCTCTTTATCAGGACTGTCGAATATCTCTCCCAGGCGTTCTCCGGGGATGGCCGGTCGGAGAGGAAGCCTCATCAGCTGAGTCGACTACTGCCCTGCTCATGATCGTGGAATTCATCATTCAGTATGTATACGAGGGAAAACACGGTGACTATCAGATGTGTCATGCTAGATACGGGAACAATTCGGAGATCCCCGAGTTGACCTACAGACTCGCTGAAGCTATCTACAGCCTCAGCCCCACCCGCCGCTGTTATCTCTGCTGCTTCACTTCTTACACGGCACTCCTCTTGGGTCTGGACACCTCTCAGCAGGTAAGGCAGCTTCCTTAGTTGTTGGATGCTCCTGTCGATTCAGGCATCACAGCCGTCGGCATCTCCTGCCGAGAAGACGGTGCTGCTGGCGCTCCTGTTGGCGACCGTCCGCTTGTGTGGGAGCGAGTTCACCACTGAAACAATTCTGGAAGGCCTCAACGGATCCACTGAGGAGCCCTGGATCCGGGTGGTCCTCGAGCAATTCCGAAACAGCCCCGAAGATCTGGTTGGTTTGCTGCGATGGCGATGGTCAAGCCTCTTGATAGGTGCTCGTTGCAGAGATTGTCCGACAGCTCCTGCGGAAGGACGAAGACTGCAAAGGGCTGGATAGCAGTAGCGTTGAGGCTTTGGAGTCTCTTTTGATTGAGACTACCGATGATACTTTGCTGTCTCTGTCGGCGGATCTGCTGAGTGTGCAGTATGCGGTAGGAGAGGCCCCAGCCGTTCTCGCGTCCCTGCAGCAGAAGTGCTCCGAGCTGGTTCAACTTCCTGGCAACACAGAGTGAGTAGTGGAGTCTGCACGGAGTGCGGCGGTAATCATCCAAGCCTTTGCTGCAGGCCTCTAACGCTAGAGCTTCATCGTATGGTAGCCTTATCGAAGCACTGGGATGTGATTGGGGATGACTACAGTTTACTCGCCAACTTACTAGAGCTGGCAGACCGGCGAGTTGCGGCATTGGAAGCCAATTCCCCCCTTGAAAACGTTCCTGCTCCAGAGCTCATCACTCTGGTTCTTCTTACTTTGATATTGACTTCAATGCGGCGGCTCTACAGTGAGGAGTGGTCAGGTGGGCACACAAGTATTGCCTTGCTCAGATGGCACAGCAGCGGAGAGCACCAGTTGTGCATTGCTGATCTCGGCATGTTGTGCTTGGGCAT